AACTGCTAGTTTGGCAGAAGCTGGGGCTGACAGCGGAAGCTCACGCCACTCCCTGGATTCGAACCTGTGACCTTTCAGTCAACAAGTTTAGCAACTCAGCAGTTTAACCCACTGAGCCACCAGGGGCTCCAGCCTATAAAGCCCTAAATGGTTCTGGTCCAGCTTACCTGTCTGAACATATCTCCCCCTATGGACCATCTTGGAGGTTAAGACTGTCTGGGGAGGCCATGCACTCCATCCCACCCCTCTCGCAGGTGTGACTGGTGGGGACGAGGGACAGGGCATTCTCAGTAATGGCCCCTCAGCTATGGAACTCCCTCCCCAGATAAATGAAATCGGCTTCCTCCCTCCTAACTTTCAGGAAGAAAGTGAAGACATGTTTGTGAGACCAAGCATTTGCACAATGATTCCCAGTGCAACAATGACCTCTCAGTACAATAACGAGCAATGCAAATGACAATTGGAATGGCTCCTAGAATATACTTTGGATTTTAAGTAATTGTTTTAAGTGATATGTTTTAATTATGTCATTTTAAAGTATGTGTGTTTTATTTTTCTATATGTATTCAAGGCATCTAATTGTGCCTTTGTGGTGAGCCGCCCTGAGTCCCCTTCGGGGTGAGAAGGGTGGGATAAAAATGTGGCAAATCAATCAATCAATCAATCAATCAATCAATCAATCAATCAATCTTTCTCTGATTGAGCAGATAGGGGCTTGAGATATGATAAAATCCAGGTCCTATAAGAAAGTCAGACTATGTTACAACAGCCTCTAATGAAACTATGCTCCTGCTGCTATTCCTGGCTAGTAAGGAGACATCCATAAAATGCCAGTAAAAGAAAAGAAGACGTAATCTCTATCCCACCCTGGAAGCCCCTGCAACTAAGTGAGCTGTTTGACTCAGGAAAGAGATTTTATGGATCCTTTTGTGTCTACCATCCAAGATGTGATTGAAAAGGTTTTAGAAAGATTCTCATTGCTTGGTTTCAATTATGCAATTTTAACTTAAAATTGTGTTTTCCTTTAAAAAAAAACCAACATAATTTCAGGCAGTTAAAACTTACCTCAAATATGTTTTGTTTTAAAGGAAATTCCATGCTGCTCACTCACATGAACTCCAATTAAAGATTAATAGCTTTGACCAGAAATCTTTTGCTGTGCTTTGAAACGGTATTCCTTGCAGTCTTTGAAAACGTAATTGCTTTGAAACAAGAATCTCTTTAGAGGGCAAAGGTGGATGGAAGGGAGCATGCGCACATTATTTCCCTTCTGGAGATAATGGCATAGCCCACATCTATGTGAATTTGCAAAAACAATCCTTTATGGTAGCTTTCTCTGGGTCTGCTCTTTGAAATGGTTCTTTTTCTTCTGTAAAGCCATCTACCATTTTATTTTTTATTTTTACATATCCGTCACATGTGTAAATGTTTTGGGACAAAACCTAAATACATTTCAAAGCACCATACAGATGATGTTAATGGCATCGCTGCAGAACTCCAAAACCATCACCATACTGATGTTTGTCCATTTGTCTTCCCAAGAGATTTACCAAAATTTTCAAAGGCAATGCATGACATTTGTAGACGGGTGATGCGTTGCATTTGGCCTCTTCTGTATAACTGAATAAAATCCAGATTATCTGTTTTGAACTGGATTGTATGGCAATGTAGACTCAGATAATCCAGTTCAAAGCAGATAAAGTGGATAACAGAATGGGGAGTGCCTGGCTCGCAGTATGATAGCAGTATGTGCAAGAATGACATTGGAGTCCTCGTGGACATGAGCCAACAATGTCATGGGGAGGCAAAAAAAGCCAATGGGATTCTGGCCTGCATAAATAGGAGTCTAGTGTCTAGATCTGGGGAAGTCATGCTACCCCTCTATTCTGCCTTAGTCAGACCACACCTGGAATACTGTGTCCAATTCTGGGCACCACAGTTGAAGGGAGATGTTGGCAATCTGGAATGTGTCCTGAGGAGGGCGGCTAAAATGATTCTAGGGTCTGGAGAACAAGCCCTATGAGGAGCAGCTTAAAGAGGAGCTGGACATGTTTAGCCTGAACAAGAGAAGGCTGAGAGGAGACATGATAGCCATGTATAAATATGTGAGGGGAAGTCATAGGGAGGAAGGAGTAAACTTGTTTTATGCTGCCCTGGAGAACAATGACTACAGGACTACAGGAACAATGACTACAGGACTACAGGAACAATGACTACAGGACTACAGGAAAGGAGATTCCACCTGAACATGAGGAAGAACTTCCTAACTGTGAGCACTGTTTACCAGTGAAACTCTCTGCCCCAGAGTTTGGTGGAGGCTCCTTCCTTGAAGGCTTTTAAACAGTGGCTGGATGGCCATCTGTTGGGGGTGCTTTGAATGCGAGTTTCCTGCTTCTTAGCAGGGGGTTGGACTGGATGGCCCATGAGGTCTCTTCCAGATCTATGATTCTATGTCTACAAGACATTTTGAGGCCTGAGTTAGAATGCAAAATGGCAACACGGTTCCCAAACCCAGCAATTTCATATACAGAAGAATGCCAGGCTGGCACTTTAATTTTATTCAAGTCTTGACAAAAATCTTGCCGTGACTTCCTCCACACCTGAATGCATAGACCATAATTCTGTATTCAAACCTCGGGGTTCAGGAAACATGACCACAGGGCTGTTCCTACCACATGCCACCTAAAGCAGCTGCCTCTTTTTTTTATTTTACTGGAGACCCAATCTTGTCAGAATCTTAACCCAATCTTGTCAGAATCTTAACCCAATCTTGTCAGAATCTTAACCCTTTTGTCGTTCTCTGCCAAAACCCCAAGACAGTGATGGAGAATAGACTGTAAGTAGGTATTAGCCAAGATACTTGTTTGGAACACCCATGAACAATTATAATCTGGATGACTACTACTGGAAGCAGGATAATGCAGCACTTAATCATGAAATAACATGAGCAAATGTTTATCCATACATTCCTGGACTTAAAAAGCTAAGCATGTGCTCTCAATTCCCACAATTCCAGGAGAGCTGAGCTTTCAGATAAGGAAAGTCCTGCGTGACAGGCTTTCATGACACCTAAAATCATGTGCCAGAGGCAGCAGCCTTTGCTATTTGTTGTACTTCCAATTACTTCTGGACCATGCAAGCATTATTCTCAGTATTCCGCAATGAGAAAATAGTGTGTTAAAGATGAGAGAACTAAATGCAGAGTTGGAGATTATATCTGTCAGGTACATGAAATAACATGAGCCAATGATTCTCCATACATTCCTGGACATAAAAAGCTAGGCATATGCTCTTAATTCCCATAATTCCTGATTGTTAAGGGAAAGCACCATTTCCCATGGAAGATAATTTTACATGATTTATATTAGAAGGCTCTCTACCGTGACCTTACCAGAGAGGTCTGTGATGGTAAAGAGAAAACTCTCCTCTGTGGACGTTAAGATTTTGCAAAATTTGTATAGGGAGTTATGATCTCTCAGATTTTTTTTTCCGTGTCAGGAGTGACTTGAGAAACTGCAAGTCGCTTCTGGTGTGAGAGAATTGGCTGTCTGAAAGGACATTGTCCAGGCAATGCTCTGATGTTTTACCATCCTTGTGGGAGGCTTCTCTCACATCTCCGCATGGGGAGCTAGAGCTGACATATGGGAGCTCATCCCTCTCCCCGGATTTGAACCTCTGACCTTTTGGTCAGCAGTTGTGTCGGCACAAGGGTTTAACTCATTGCTCCATTGGGAACTTTCAGATAGTCTGGACCTAAATCATGCAGTGAAAAGAAATAAACTGGTAGTGTGGCACTGTTTAGCATGACTTACTAAGTGGCAAATATACATTTGACAGCACACTTAGAATTCTTGTTTTAAAAAATGTTTCTAACCAGCTGAGATAAAAGTAAAACATTTAATTTAAAACTGCTGTTTAAAAGTTAAAGGAAAAGAAAGTTTGCCTAATAGGCACACAATTTTGTTTTACTTTAATTTACTGTGTTTTAATCTGTACAATTCCTAGAAAGAATTTCTTTACAGGGCATTTAAGAAATCTGATCTGCACATGTATACAACATGCATTCTGTTTCTAGAAAACTATACAAGGGGGCTTTCCAAAGAATGATAAACTGTTCTTTTATAATTCTCACCAGGCCCACAAATGTTCTTTTTCTTTTTGTCAAAGGCGATGGAAATACTGTTCTATCTAAAAAGTCATGAAAAGTAATAACTTTATACAACACTCCCCACTAAAAAAAAAAACCCTCACAAACAACCCAACTTTTACCACTCATGGAGCAGAGGAAAAGATGGGGCTTTTCAAATATGCATGTGGTGACATGTGAAAAGAAGCATACGCTGTTGCTCTTATGTTCTCTGCTTTATTGGACTTTATTGGACTTCATGCCTTCTTTGAAACAGACTGCAGCTATTACTCTTTTGTGCTGTTTTTACAGAGTTTGTACCTAGAGATAGTAGTAAACTATAGATTTGTTTTTCTATTCTACTGATTTTTATTTTCCCTTATTTATTTTCATGACAGGAACTACTTGAGAAACTGCAAGTCGCTTCTGGTGTGAGAATTGGCCGTCTGCAAGGACGTTGCCCAGGGGACGCCCTGATGTTTTGATGTTTTATCATTCCTTGTGGGAGGCTTCTCTCATGTCCCTCCATGGGGAGCTGAAGTTGACAGAGGGAGCTCATCCGCTCTCTCCCCGGATTCCAACACCCAACTTGTCAGTCTTCAGTCCTGCCGGCACAAAGATTTAACCCATTGCACCACTGGGGGCTCCCATTGATGTTTTCCCATTGATGGGCAAAGATTACAAATTCCCTGAGCTTTTTGGCTCAGTAGCTTTTAGCATTAACCTAACGCCAAATGGCTCACAATTCACCAAAACATTTGAAGACAGCATTGATTTGATCCTGAAACCAAGTTTCTGTGTCTACAATACTGGTTTTTCATACGCTGAAGTACATTTCATAACTGTGTGAATGTTTAGCAGGGAAAAGGCTTACCTTTTGGTGTGGAAATGTAGATTGAACCATTGCAGTTTCAAAACTGTGAGTTCCTTTCAGCTGGGTTTTCTCCCATAAGGTTTTTAGGCTGTGCACAGAATTATTTTGCATGGATAAAGGTTCTGGGAATAAGCTCTGTTGGATAATATTGAAAGAGGAAAGCTTCACATATCAGCTTCTTTCAGTAGATAATGAACATTCAATAACACACCATATAAAACAATGAGTAAAATGCCCTTTGTGCCTTGATAATATCTATTAATGAAATTGATTCAGATATCATTGGACTGCCAAGGCATTCATTGCCTTGATACCAAAGTCATTGTTTAGCCTTACCTTCTGAATTGCGGTTCAATCCTAAGGATAAATCCAGAGTTAGTCCTACTTAGAGCTGGGTCCATAACAAAATGGCCAGAAAGTTCTTTCTCAAATAATCTTCCATTCATTTAAAATAATAATTATGCGTCTTGTTGGAACATTTAGTGTCTATAGTAAGCAGAGTGCAGCAGGGTTGTTGTGTGTTTTCTGGGCTGTAGTAAACAGAGTGTAGCAGGGCTAGTGCAATATTAGCTTGTAATAGAAACAAGAGAAATGACTCTGGATGTTCTTCTAAGGTAAGAAAAGAAAACGTATGATTACTATCTCAGGAAACCCAGCTTAGGGTAGGAAAGGAATAGGCTAAAGAACTTGATGTACACTTGATTAGATGAACTCCTGACTCTTGTGTGGACATAAACTAGCATCCACTGTTGGGTTGCATCCTCATGGATACTCCTTGTAGAAGGGAAAGAAGATACTAATTTTTTGGAAGAAGTGATGTCTTTGCAGATAAGAAGCTAAGGCTTGAGTATAAAGTCCAAAGAAAGATACAGAAGAGTGAAACAAAAAGGCTCCCATATCTTATTAATCACATTACAACCATTGATGTGTCTTTGCTTCCAACATTTCTTCAACTGAAGTGTCATGTTGGGAGTTTAGAATCCGGAACATATTGGAAAGTGAAAATACAGACCTGTAATTTCAATGCAAGTGCACAGCTCACTGTTAAGGGTCATTATTATGTGGGTTAACAGAAGAGCTGAGCATTCAGATAAGTCCTGTGGGGCTGGTTTTCATGACACCTTAAATCACGTGCCCGAGGCAGCCGCCTTTATTATTGATGTATTTTCAATTACTTCTAAACCATGCAAGCACTATTCTCAGTATTTCCACTATAAGAAAATAGTATGTTAAAGATGAGTGAACTAAATACAAAGTTGGAGATTACATCTGTCAGATGATTTCATCATATGGGCTGATTTGCCTGTTGTACACAGCATCTTCGCCCCTTTCACCATGGAGCCCATTACACAACACACATCTCCTTTGGGCCTGGCTCTATGGACACCACCGTGGGCACACAGACGCTTCCCCCACATTGCCTTTGCTACAATGTGGGGAAGACTGGCAGCGAATGCTCCCCTCCGTGGGAAGGGGCTGGCGGTAAGTTGGGCGATTCAGGGTGTGGGGCAACAGGTTCTCCACGCTTCCTGTCTGGACCCCATGGATTTACCATGATGCATGGTGAATCCCTTACTTAATGTGATATGGTCCAGATTTTTCTATGTTATCCTGATCCAGGTTGGTGCTCACCCATGTGACCCAAAAGGTGCAGGAGACATCTCGGCCAAGCAAAATTTATCAAGCTGAAGAAGCATAATTTGAAGGAGAGAGGTGTCCCTTAGATTCTACCCCAAACAGGAATCCTGTGTGTATTTTAGCAGAGCTTACTTCTTGCACTACTTTTTGGGCTACATTTCCCAGAACTCAACATAAGTGAACATGCTAGTGTGGAATTCTGGGAGTTGTAGTCCAGAATTATCCCCCACCCCCATGCTAGGATTTTGAAATATGATCAGCTGATAGGACTTCTGTCAATCATATAATGCCTGTTTTTCTCAGTGCCATCTTGAGCCAGAAATGAAGAAACACAAAAAGTATAGAAAACCAAATAGACCTGAAGGACAGGAAAATGAATTTGTTAAATTCCTTGCCTCTCATGCTTGAGTCTTAAGCTAAGGAAATATTAGGGGGTGTTACCCTTTCACTCTATAATATAATTCTTTTGAGTGATTGATTGTACAGTGATTTTGAAATTGCACTGTGACTGAAAGCAATAGACTGAAAACTAACATGTGCAGTATTTGTTTAAAAGACTTCTGTCCAGAAAAGCACACGATAAAATGAGAGCAATGTGTTTCATTTATCAATCTATTATCGTGATGATATACCATGATTCCTCTATTCTTCAATATTAACTTTTTTTTGACAATTACAGACTTTTAATGATAGATGCCTGGCTTCTTCTCTACAGACATTCTTCTGTGTTTGGTTGTTTTACCAAATTATTCATCCCAAACACAGATTTCTTATTTTTGAGTCCATTTGTTGAATTATGTATTTAGCTTCACTCGTCAGTTCTGCATTTGCTTCATGCCATTTTCTTTTCAGCATTCTTTTAATGACTTCTGTTCAACATTCTTTCCTTCTTTTACTTGGCTCAATGAATTATCTCTCTGCTAATCCAATTCTGCTGGGGTTCACATTGTCCTCAGTTTATCACTGGTACGCCTGTAATGCTATGTGGTGAACCGCTAAGCTACTAGTGGCAGAACTTTAAAGGATTGTCTGAACCAACTTTGTCATCTAGATTGCCCATCAGATTTTTTTGGGCAGGAAGGAATACCAATGGCTTCCTTTCCCAGCTGAGGTTTGTTTGCTCAATCCTTTAGCTTTGCTGAGTCTTGGTTTTCTAGTCTTACTCTTCAATTCTGGCTTCTTCTCGGGCCCTGGTTTCTGGTTTGTCCTCCAGTTCTGTTTGGTCATTGCTCCTCACTTCTACTTTCCAGCTCCTGATTTAATCCAGATTGCTGCCTATAGTCCAACTAGCCTGGACACTTTAGTCTGTTCTTGAACCTCTGTGCCTTTATCGGCATCGTTCCATATCCTTAACAATGATACCAACTCTTTCCACTACTCTGCTGGGAGCAGGAAAGATATATTTTTAATTACTCAACTTTTTGTTCCTGAACTGTTCCCAAGAGTGTACACAATTGTCCAAGTAAACATTCAGTGTTTTGCATTGCACAGTACTCAGAGGAAGAATCTGAAATAAATGTTCTGCTGAACTATGGCCTTAACTCATAAATGCAATGGATTCACCCACAGGATTCACCCAATAAGGAAAGCTACATTGTTTGGCAAATGGGCCTTACTAGGACTTCTGAGAGTGTTGATGCTTCAGATTTGGCCAAACAAAATAGCTGTCTCCCATAGCTAACATGGAATTTACAGAAAATGATGTGAATGCCTAGAAAGTCAACAGTAGTGAAGGACAGTTTGGGGATTTGGGGTGGGTGGGTGGTAAAATGTTTTTATACAGTTTTCCATGTTCTTTAGATTTCAGTAACTTATGGACAAAGCATAGTATTAAACGTTGTAAGAGAATAAAAATAAAAGTCAGCTTTGAATTTATGGTATAAGGGCAGCTACTCACCACCCATTCTGATGAAACTGGAAGTAACTACAGCCCCATCTACACTGCCATATACAGTGTTCCCTCGCTACTTTGTGGTCCGCTTTTTGCGGACTCACTGTTTTGCGGGTTTTTGCTTCCTAATTTATGAATGGTTGCCATTGTCCAGAGCAGCGTTGTCATCCCGCCTCCTGGCAACGATGGAGTGTAGAAGGGGGTTTCACCCTCCCTCTGGGGAGAGAGGCAGCCAATCAAGAGAGACTGCAAAGCAAAGCAGAGATAGCTAGCAAAAAAAGGTGTGTGGTGCCTTTAAAGCTCTCCTTGGTTCTGCCTCACCCTCGGAACTCGATATACATATATAGCATCCCTTCTTCACAGATTTTCACTTTTCACGGATGGTCCTGGAATGTAACACCCACGATAAGTGAAGGAACACTGTACAGGCAGTCCCCAAGTTGCAAACATCCAACTTACAAATGACTCACAGTTAAGAAAAGGGTGATGCAACAGGAAGTGAGATAAATTTTCCCCTTGGAAAGGAAATTCAATCCATAATGGCTTTCACAGCCCCAGTGCAACTGGGACCGGGAAAGGAGTTTGACACCTTCACTGTGGAAGAGGCTGGCCAAAAGTAATCCCATAAGGGACTACTTTCTGGAGGGCGGGCCTACAGTCGCAGTCCACCCTCTTCTTCAGTTTGCTGCTGATCAGCTAGGGAATCGAATTTGCAATCCCAAGGCACCCTTTTAGGGCAGGCCAGGAGCAGGAACCCTGATCTATGGTGTAAATAAAGGGTATGGGGGCAAACACAAATGGCCTACGAGCTGTAGAATATTACATCAATGCATGTTTGGGGACAAAATTACCTGTCACACTTCCCTTAGCAGCTGAGGAGTAGTATGAAAGGTCACCACTTTGGATTTAGCCTCACCAAGTTCATTATCAAATTCATTGCCAAGTTTGCAGGCTCCTCGGCTTGAAAATGGAGAAAAACGCCTCCCTAGAGCCAACGATGAACACCACCTCCAGAAATTAGAAATGAAAGGAGAAGCCTCTGCCTTTGTTTGTGTGTCTCGTTGTATATGATTTGTAAAGGCATTGAATGTTTGTCTATCAATGTAAATGATGTAATCCACTCTGAGTCCCCCAGGGGAGAAGGGCCAAATATAAATAAAGTGTATGTATGTATGTATGTATGTATGTATGTATTATCATTATTATTATTATTATTATTATTATTATTATTATTATTAACCAAGTTCATGGCCAAGTTCATTACCAAGATCACTACACATTTTAGTGCTCATTGCAAGTCGCAAAATTTGATTAGGTAACATTAACATTAATAAAGTTGCCCATAGTTGACCTATTTATGTGTGTTACCTCTTCATTTGAGGGGGTTATATGGCAAAAAGTTCTCATGGGAAAAACTGAAGCTTTCTCAGCAATCCTTGTTTCTACAACAAGCCACATTGTTCAAAATATCACAAGACCAAAAAAGTGAAGTGACATTTTCTGAAAAGGGGCACAGTATATATATGGCTGGAGTTGCACTTAAAAATGTATCTGTTCCTACTCACAAACAAAGTTAACTTAAGAACAAACTTGTATTATATGGCAGGGTATATGGGGCCTACAACTCCCCTTCTGGTTTCAAAACCCTTCTCTTTGGGTATGGGCTAAGAGGAGTTCTGCGAGCTATACAAGCCAGTGTGGGACCATATGCAACTTGCAACCCATATGTTGCCTACTCCTTTTGTAATGTCCCCATCAATGTTAGCAGTTCATTTTAAGAACATTTTCTGTGGCCAATTTTATTTTTTAAAAAATCATGTACAGAAGTGTATGTGCTCCTGATGGATAACAATCTGATTTGCAAAGAGGTGGGTGGGAAGCTGGCCCACCCCCTTCCCTCCCTATGTGGCGCCCTATGTCCTGATCACTTAATTCACCGCTGAATTAAGAAATGTACAAAATGAATTTTGACAGTGCTGAAATTGGTCCAGATTCCTAGAATAATGTGCAAATCAGTTCTCTAGCTGCCCTTCAATAGAAATGAAATGGTGAAACTGAGCTGTGCCTTGTAATACTACCCTCTGTATCCATGATGTATTTAGACTATTTTGTGTGTAGGAGTCAAAATATTAATATTGGATAGGCTACATCTTCTGTAATGTTATAGCCTGCATGTGAAGCGTGAACAGTAATAAACACAATTTTATAGGATGCTGAAAATCATTAAAAACAAGAGCAACCAAAAGCAGAACAGAGCTGAAGCAAAGGCACATTCGACAGCATTATTAGTACAAGAAGCCGACAATGACTGGAATCCCGAAACCGAGACTTATACAGACATAATACTGACACCTTAAAAAACACTGTATTGTAAAACAGCAGTCAGTAATCTCTCATCCTGTCTTCCTTTCTTCTGTGCAATTTCCTCTTTCCATATCATCCCAAATAGTGCATAAAGATACAAGCAGCACAACGCTAATAAAATGCCTTACGTATTGTCGAAGGCTTTCATGGCTGGAATCACTAGGTTCTTGTGGGTTTTTTCGGGCTATAGAGCCATGTTCTAGAGGCATTTCTCCTGACGTTTCGCCTGCATCTATGGCAAGCATCCTCAGAGGTAGTGAGGTCTGATGCCTTATGTTTGCAAAGCCACTATGCATTGGTTTTTCGCTTTGCAAGGAAACAGTTTTTAGTATCAATTATATAACTGTTAGCAATTATATAAACAGGCTAGAGTATGTATCCACTTTAAATCAGGTTGCTGCCTCCTGCAGAATTTTGGGATTTGCAGTTGTGGGAGGGCCTTTAAACTGCTCAGCCAGAGAGGTCCTGGGCCTCACTAAACTACAAACCCCAGAATTTTGCAGGAGGCAGCAACCGGATTTAAAGTGGAGACATGCTCTAGTCCAGTGTTTCTCAACCTTTCTAATGCTGTGACCCCTTCATACAGTTCCTCATGTTGTGGTGATCCCCAACCATATTCTTTTTTCATTGCTACTTCGTAACTGTAATTCTGCTACTGTTATGAATCTGTCAATAGAAGGGAGAAGAGTTTCTACGCTAAGATGAAGAGAAATAGAACGAATGGGTTGAGTGTCAGATTTATATATCTTCCAAAGTGGACAAAAAGACCTATGAAATGTCCCAGGGAATTTCAATCATTTTAATTGGGAAACATTTTTAGCAATTTAAAAAGTCATACATTGCACACACCTGATGAAAGAGGAACATGATATGGATCCAAAGCTGAGGTTGTCGGCTGATGAGTGTGAAACTGGATTTACTGTACAGGCAGTAATGCCCTTTCAAGGGACAACTGAAGAACAGCTTTGCTACACAACTTTTCACAGTATCTAGAAATAAATATGCATGCTGTTAGCATTAACCCAAGCTAATGCATAATTCTTGCTATAACACACTCTGTCGCTTTTTTTAAAACAAATTCTACTTCATTCGGCATAGAAGCACAGCCTTACTTATTACAATATGCTATTAGTTAATATGTACCCAATGGGTTTCAAGATTAAAACGCCTTTTATCTGCCATCAGTTCATATGTAGTATAAGGCCTAAAATATCACATTTCTTCAATTGTAAGCTGCCATCGATTGTAAGACACAGCCTAATTTCAATAATGCCATCACCAACAAAAATATATAAGATCCACCCTAAAACACACCCCATTTTAAGAGGTGTTTATACTGGGGGGGGGGGGAGGGGACTGTGTCTTACAATTAAAGAAATACAGTACATCATTTTTCCTAGGTTTGGGGCACAAGGAAGTTAACAACTTAAAAAGCAAAACAATAAAATATATCAAAGGTAAATATAAAATGGAATTAAACAAATTAAATTATTAAAACAATTCAATTGAATTATAATTATAAAGTAAATAATAATCTGCTTAAAACAATTCAATTAAAACAGTGTAGCCGCCCCTAGTTTGTTTCTGTTATAAAAGCTTTTTTAATTTTTTAAGTTCAAACATAATTTTTGGTGGGGGTTTACAGAATTTTTTAAGCAAACCATTCCTCAGACTATAGAGGAATTTTGCTTCTGGAAGCTATTTATTAATAGAATCAGTATGAGATGCAGAAGAAGAAACGTATTAAGATGGCACACTAGATTACGCCATAGCTCTAACATCAGATTTCTTCCAGTAAATAAATCCATATTCATCATATAAGTGTGAATGAATGGGTGTTATCTAACACAATACCCCCTCCCCCAGGATTTATAGTTCCCCAAGGGTACAGAAATAAATAGATGGTTTTTCCCTTTTAAAAAGACCCTTTCCAAACTTGTGCAGGCTCAAAGCATTGGACACCTTTAAAAACACCCTTTCTGGCTAGATCGTAATTAAAGTCTATGTTGCTTGTCTCCATCCTGGTGAATGTATTCTCAAATCTGAAAATTTGGGTTGTTAGAATAATGCTTGCCTGGCAGGACCCTCTTTAACCTATGATCCTAGTCTCAATTCAACCTCATGCGGGGAGGGTGGCAATTTTGCTATATTTTCTCTTTTCTGGGCTGTTTAAACTCAGAACTTCTAGGCCATTTTCTTTTGTAAAAAGGGGCTTCCAATGGATCTAAAACGACCCACAGAAGGCACAAAACATGACAATGTTGTCCATACAGATATTCTAAGTGTCGCTGAAGTCATTTGGCAAGAAATTGTAATTTTTTTCTTCAAGATATGGCTCTCCAGCACCATTTCCATGTAAATATTAAAACTCTTGCAATCTCAATCCATGAACAGACAACTTTGGAAATATTTCTTGCCTGTGAATGATATAAGTGTACATTTACATCTGTAGTCTGAAATGAGAGCATTGGTGTATTGCCAACAGATAACACAAAGATATCCCTAATGAAATTAGGGACAAAAAGCATTTCTAAGGTTCTTGCTCAGTTAAAGTGTAACAAGGGACGAAAGGAGATATACAAATAGCCTTAGTCATGATATAGGATGTTATTACAGAGGATTATTGATACATGGAACCACCTCATAATTTTTTTTTTGAAAGCTGGGTGGGGATATAATAAATAATAAAACCCACATGGATGGTGGTAAACTTTTATCACAAAGCATACATAAAGCAATAGGAAATGCATACATATTAAAAAGCACCCCCATCTTCTGAGACAGGGAATTTCTTTAAATCAACAACATATGGTGACCTCACATAATATTTTTCGGATTTTCCTTGCAACAATGTGCAAGACTATCAGTTGGTTTTCATGAGCACATTTGACCAACAATTGTTGGAAAAAGAAGGTCAGAAAATGCATTCTGTGAAAGACAAGACTGGGGGGAAAGCAAAGCTTTGAAGCAGGCACATGGTTGTGCTGATGAATTCAAATATCAGCACAGATGAAGTCTTTTTTTATTTCTCCTTAGTGCCTTATCAAGACTGCAGCTCTTTATGTCATTACTAAGGTATTTGTCTAACCATTTTCATGAGTCAGATCCAAATTGCTTTTTCTCTTGGCTCAAGCAGAACACAGGCAACTAGAATCCAACAGCGCTACTAGGTTGTTCAGGGGAATCTGTGCCCTAATTTCCTGGGAGCTCATATTTAAGCCATTCTGAAGCGTTTGGAAGGGGGAAATTAATATAATAGATAACTAATTGAAAAAAAATGTTTGCAGCCTTTCTTCTACTGCCCCATAACCTTGAAGTCAGGTAGGAAAGTGTCAACAGTGTCTTATATTTTTAAAGCTATGTGATTTATAACAATCTTTAAGAATCACAGCCTTGCATGTGCATGTGATTTCAAGTTACTAGTCCACTAATAGTTATATAATGTATTTCAAAGGTGTTCTTAAGCAAGCAGTTCCTTCCGCTGAAATTTAGCATACAGCACTAGTTCTCAGCCTGTGGGTCCCCAGGTATTTTGGCCTACAACTCCCAGAATTCCCAGCCAGTTTACCAGCTGTTAGGATTTCTGGGAGTTGAAGGCCAAAACATCTGGGGACACACAGGTTGAAAACCACCAGCCTGCAACATCTTGTATTCATTGGCAATCCCCCATTCAAGTACTAACTAGGGCTGGCCCTACTCAAATTCCAAAGTAAGATCATGCCAGATTCATCATGGCGACTGGCAAATTTATTTGTTTGTTTGTTTATTTATTTATTATATTTGTATACCGCCTTTCTCAGCCTGCAGGCAACTCAAGGCAGTTTACAGGACAAAATTCAATGTCCACAATACCATAAATACAATTTAAAACATTAACATATAACAAAAACCATAACAAAATCAATAAAACATAAATCCATAGTGTCTCCTTGTTAAAAACATTGTCTGGTCCCATTGTCTAGTTGTTCCATTTTCCTATGTCAGTTACTCTGCATTTGCAAACGCTTGCTCAAAAAGCCACGTCTTAACTTTTTTCCGGAATGTTAAAAGGGAGGGGGCCAATCAGATATTCCTAGGGAGGTTGTCCCAAATCCAAGGGGCCACCACCGAGAAGGCCCTGTCTCTCATCCCCGCCAAACGTACTTGTGACGTTTTCCCCGCTGTTGCCCATGTTAGGGCACCTAATGTGACGAGGTTCTATGAATTATTTGTAAGTTGGTCATTTGTAACTTGGAGACTGCCTTGGTCTACTTGTATAACTTCCAAATACAGCTTCTAAATCCACAAATGACCTAACACACATCTTGGAACAACTTTTAACCATACCGAAAAGATGTACTCAACCTAACCCAATGATATATTTTGAAAATAGGTCTGGCTGGCAATGGGTTAATTACTGGATGTCTTACGTCACTTCTGATTCGTTACAAATTGCCTCTCAGCAACAAAATTTCTGTTCCTTTCCCAGCAGAAACTTCCAAAGGAAGTTACTAGCTATGAATTTCATTCCCATGGCAATTAGAGACAAACTAAATACAGCATGGGTGTGCTGTAATTAGAATTATAAAAAGAGCTGTGAACTGAACTGGGACTGTGTCAGGGATTCAGAACGGGGTGACTCTTCCCCTTGATGACCCACTCAGAACCACTATGTAAAACTCTCCTCAAAGCCCCAGATTTGTCTAGTTTTTAAGCAGCAGCCAAGAATGTTTATTCTACCAAGAATTCAATGGTGTCAAACTTTTGTTTTTATGTTTACTTAAGTGACTGTTTTCAAAATTTTTGGTTTTGGTTACACATAAGTCCTTTATTAAAATGTGTTTATGGCTGTGTAAAAACCATAATGCCAAAAAGCAGTAAATGTTTGTAGATTTTTTTTGTTTTGGTTATTCATAAGTTCTCATCCTATTAAAACATAGGTTTATAGTTGTAAACCATCATGCCAAAAAGCAACACATGTTGGAAGATGCTAGTATGCCTGTGTATCCCTATACATTTTTGTAGCAATCGGAAAGCCTTATGGGCATAAAGGACTGTGATGGGAGTGCCATCTAAACCTTTACATTTAGAAACACAACTCCATTTTGCCCCTTATACGATGATTTCCCCTGACCCACTTCTTTTTATCACAGGATGCTGAAACTGCACAAGTGTAATGATATCAGTCTCTACAGGTTACGTGCCAATTTACAACTCAGAACTGATAACGGTCCTGATTTTACAGGTGCTGAAGTGGTGTGAGGTTTGATAATGGATCCAGTGGAATACAGAGCAGTCATCAAATTCCTTTAATTGAAAGGCCACACACCAAAGGAGACGTTTGATGAGATAAAAGAGGTTAATGGTGATGATTCCCCGTCATATGATGTAGTCAAGAATTGGCATTGTCAATTCAAATGTGGTTGGACTTCGGTGGAAACAGCTCCAATTCCAGGACGACCCCACTCTGCTATTGATGAACACACAATCCAGCAAGGGAAGGGAGCCATTTTGGAAAATTGCCACACAATCATTCACCACCTAGTCCAAAATGTCAAGATTAGTGTTGGGTCCATGGAAAGAAATAATCAAAGACCATTTTCACATGCATAAGGCATCTGCTCGCTGGGTTTCCAGGCTCCTCACACCTTTCCAAAAGCAGGAATGAATTGAATGCTCTCAAGCTCTATTGATGTGCCATGGAAACCAGGGGGACTTTTTCAACAGACTGATCACACAGGATGAAAGCTGAGTCCATCATTATGATTCTGAGACTAAAGTCCAGTCAATGCAATGGAAGCATCATGACTCAACACCTCCAAAGAAGGCAGTGCCCAACTCTCGGCAGGCAAGGTCATGCTCACAGTATTTTGGGACCAGCACAGAGTAGTATTGATGGATTTCACAGCAAAAGGTACCATGATCACTGGGGCATACTATGCTTTACTGCTGCTGAAATTGTGAGAGGTCATCAAAACCAAGATAAATGGCTCATCAAAGGTATCCACCT